ATATATATATATATATATATATATATATATATATATATATATAGGAAACACCTAAGGAAATGAGTAAATTATATGGCTTAATTAAAGTCTTCAGATGGATGAAGAAGGGTTCCAGAGATGAGCAGTTGAAAGAGAAGCATCCAGGAAAAGTAAGCAGAAATAAGATGTTTACACTTATTTATCTATTGTGGACGTGCTAATCAGAGGACAAGTTGCAGGAGTCAGTTTTTTTCTACCATGGGGATCCTACTCATCTAACTAAGGTCTCTGTGCTTGACAGTAGGGACATTCACTGGTTGAGCCATCTCACTGGACCCCCCAAAAAGTGATTCCTCTCTTACAATTTACCAATCAGGGTTTAGGGATTAGGGGCTTCCTTGAGTGTTCCATCGTTGGCAATTGATATTCAATGCAAGCCTTTCATCCAATCAATCAGATTCATTTATTCCTTCTGTTGTTAGGATCAGCCACAACCACAGTGTTTTTTTGAAAAACTAAAGATACATAACAATTATTTCTATGGTTTAGGGAGAAGGTTGATCAGCCATTTGGAAAGTTTTCAGCTCCCCTAGGACTTGCAAACTTGAACTTTATTTCATCCTGCAGGTAAAATGGAGTCTGAAGTCACAATGGCAGTACTTGGACCAAGGTGTTTTTCACCTGCTCCCTTCACCTCTAGACTGGACATTGTGCCTCCTTTGCAGGTAAGCATGACTTGGAGTCGTCATCTCTTCCTGGTGAACAGGCCACTGACAAATGAAGATGTGTATTCAACCAGCATCTCATACACTAGCTACTGTTCTCAAAGGTGTTACATAACTCCACTCTCCTAAAATAATTAGCCATAAATAGTCAATATGCTAAGAAGACTTATTTGAAGGTGGAGGGTATACTGTTGCCCCATCAGAATATCTATTTTTTGGTCATCTACAGTCACTACTTCTTTAATCATAAGGTGGTTGCTAAAGAACTTGTGTTATGGTTTTAACATGTTGGCACGCTTTCAAATCAATTGTACGATGCCATCCACTGCAGAGTCTGTCATTCTATTCTTTATACCAGAAGGGGAAAACATAAAAAAGATCATCCCAGAGCTGATCATTATGGCATTTTCATCAAAAAACATTTCCTATAGTCTCTTGGCAATTTTGTGAGAACTGCTTAAACCACAAATGATTAGTATAATCCACACACCCTATTAATCTAACTTACTTGTCAATGTGTTAAAATGAATAAATGAATTCGAACATGACTATTCCTTAAGTGTAGAACTCTCATTCTTCCCTTATGACATATCCAGTGATATTTGGGACCTTCAGTAAGTGGACGTACCATTGTCTGACATGTCACCTTAGTAACATCACTGGTCACAGTATCCATTAACTATGAGTTCAAATGCGTTTTCTTTCTTTAAAATCTTAACTATACATATTTTTATGTGGAGGCAGAATCTAGTTTGGGGACTACAATAGTGAGATTTGGCCCATCAGGAAACACTGGCCCTTCTTTTCTCTCCCCTATTACACACTGTCAGGTGGGATAATCATTTGATATTCTAGGTTGATTAATCATGTTTTCTTCCTATTCTTCTACGAGATACATAAAACTTTACATTAGGGATATCTCATTAGCATAGAGATTTAGTGATCCTGGGCTCAGGAAGACGAGGACTGCCCTGATCTTTATTGACCTCCCAACACACACACACACACACACACACACACACACACACACACACTCTCCATATGCTTCATCTCTCCACTTACCTACAGTGAGTACATCACAGCCATGTCTATACCAGCATTCAGCTTTCACACTGCCACAACTGCATGCATGATGTGGGATTCCCCCCTTTGTATGCTGTGAATACCATTGGTTAATAAAGAAACTGTCTTGGCCCTGTGCAGGAAATAGAGGTAGGTGGGGAAAGCTAAACTGAATGCTGGAAGAAGGAAGGAGGAGTTGGAGAGAAGCCATGTAGCCCCGTTGGAGCCAGATAGAACTGTACACGGTAAGCCATAGTCACGTGGCGATACACAGATTACTAGAAATAGGTTAAATTACTATGTATGAGCTAGCCAATAAGAAGCTAGAGCTAATGGG